TTCAACTTCCTGAAGGGGGGTTCCAAAGAGGATGGAGAGAGGCTGTTCTCAGTAGTGACAGATGACAAAACGAGGAGCAGTGGTCTCAAGTTGCAGTGGGGGAAGTCTAGGTTGGATATTAGGAAAAACTATTTTACTAGGAGGGTGGTGAAGCACCGGGATGGGTTACCTAGGGAGGTGGTGGAAAATTATCACTAATTTTTAAGTCCCAGCTTAACAAAACCCTGGCTGGGATGATTTAGTTGAGATTGGTCCTGCTTTTAGCAGCGACTTGGACTTGATGGCCTCCTGAGGTGTTTCCCAACCCTTTGATTCTATGATCAACTCGCATAATGATAATTGCATCCCCCTGGCATATAGAGTCTGTCCACTATATACTTGTGTTTTCCCCAGTCCTTATTCTCTTGCAGACTGAGGGTTAAATTCACTTAGGCCTGCTACACCAGAAATGTACACTGGTTAAATTGCTTTATTTCTGGTTCAATACCCTATTTTGGCTAATGAATTGATATAAACCTGCACTAAGACATTTTTAGCCTGAAATCAGAGGCTCCAAATAGGAACTTGCACCAATTAAACTAAAATAGTTTTTTAAACCAAGTTAGAATGGTGGGGCTCGTCTACACTGGCCCCTTTTCCGGAAGGGGCATGTTAATTTCAGAGGTCGTAATAGGGAAATCCGCGGGGGATTTAAATATCCCCCGCGGCATTTAAATAAAAATGTCCGCCGCTTTTTTCCGGCTTTTAGAAAAGCCGGAAAAGAGCATCTACACTGGCCCCGATCCTCTGGAAAAAGCGCCCTACTTCAAAGTAGGAATAAGATCCTCCAGAAAAGGGCGCTTTTTCCGGAGGATCGGGGCCAGTGTAGACGCTCTTTTCCGGCTTTTCTAAAAGCCGGAAAAAAGCGGCGGACATTTTTATTTAAATGCCGCGGGGGATATTTAAATCCCCCGCGGATTTCCCTATTACGACCTGTGAAATTAACATGCCCCTTTGCCCCTTTCGGAAAAGGGGCCAGTGTAGATGTAGCCGTGCAGTTTACTCTTAGAGAGAAGGCTTTAGCATTCATGTTAGTGACTTGAACTCTGAAAAAACTGAGAAGCCTGTAGCCCTAATACAATTCTCATTGTCTCCTACTGCTGCTAAGTTATGGGAAATGAGTTTGACTTCTCATTTGCTTAAAACCGCAATCTGTTTTTAAAATTGTATCTGTTCCTGCTGTAAAAAAATCTGTATATGAGCTCTATGGAAGCACATATAGCCATTCCCTCAACTAGCCTCATGTGGGGTTTGCTGGTGGCATGGGGGCAAGTATTGAACTACAGCACAAATGCAGGGGCCTGTATGCTGGCAAATGGGCACTGGTGTAAAGAGACTACAGCCTGCAGATTAACATAATTTTTAAATGGAAAGAACATTCAATTTAAGTCCTCAACTCGTACAGCTCTTTCAAAGGAGCAGCAGTTGCCACATTCAACTTGAAAAAGCCTTGGAGAAATCAATTAGCAGCAAGAAGGCTCTTGAAAGAGTAACGGGGATTGACAGAAAGATAGTGGAAATGTAAGAGCTTGTTAACATCGTTTTAAAGCGCTACCCCATTCATCACAATACTGCAGCATTCTAATGTTCGTGAGCAGCATGCTCCCAGGAACATCTGCACTGTGCTTTGCCAATGGATAGTGCATCTATACTGAGTCTCACCCACCATGGAACTCCCAGCCTCTTATAGAGTGGAATACAATAGTTACAGGATATAGTAACGCTATGGCAAAAGTTTAGGACAGGGAGGGAAGAACAGCAGAGCCAGTTTAGTCTGCGCCAGCCGATGAGGGAGGCTAGTTAGCGAAGAACTCTGGACCTATCATAGAATACTAGGACTAGGATGCCCTATGGTGTTTTCAAAGACCATCCAAGATAAGAATTTGTTTTACATCTCATTTCAACTGCTGGTACTGTGTGAGAGCATTGTGTCCTGTAGCATCGCTGCTTCAAATGAACAGTGCCCCATCTACTGAATTTTCCTCTAGCACTTGGCTAGACCCGTTTCACATGCAGAGGACAGGAAATTATATTCCTTATCTAATCTGGCAAACCCTTGCCCCTCTCAACACTTCAGCCTGAAGAAATTCTGGAGCTTCTCTTAGCTCTTGAGGAAAAAGTTCTTCGGTGAGTGACCTGAGCTGAACAGGCTCTAATGCTTTATGACACATTCTAGCAGTAGCTGCTAAAGGACTTGAAAGCCATAGGCTGGAGCCATGAAGTAAGTTGCCAAACTTTTCATCTCATCTGTTCCAAAACTTGGGTACAACTCAGACAGACAGACCTGCTCCCATTAGCTCAACCTTGAGACCCCACTGAGACAAGACACTGAATTCTTCCTGGATCTATCTTCAAACAATGTATGTTTTAAAACTGTTTGCTACAAATGCTGACAACACCTTGGAAACAGGCATCCAGAAAGCTTCCATTATTCTATAAGTTGCCCCTTTGAGTCTAGTTACAACTATTTCCTGGCAATTGTAGGTCTCAGGTCCTGCAGGGTATCTGAAGGAATTAGAAGCAGACCCCTTGTCTTCCCCATCCCTGTTCCTTTTTGTCTTCTGGATGATGAAATGAGGGAATTTACACTAAAATGCACTGATGGTGAACATGTTGCTGGGATTAGTTTTCAAAAAACAAGCAATAGCAGAAGTTGGAATTACATTGATTGAATTTTCCTAGAAGGGAGGAGCTAGTAAAGACCTTTTTACACCATCTTACCCCTCTGCATGTATAGTTTCCTAGTCCCAATTCAAAAAACCAACATGTTTGAAAGCATCTATAATCCCACAGCCAACCTGAACCCATCCTGCCTGGGCAAGTGTCTTTGGAAGAAGCACTTACATGTGAGGTCACTATATGGAGCTTTCTCAGTTCACTGAGATGATTGCTGAACAGGCTTGGTTCCTATTAATATTTTACAGGGAGGGGTTATGCAACTTCTGGAACAGAAATGGAAACAACCTAGGGCTATGTCTACACTGGCGAGTTCTTGCACAAGAACCTGCAGAGCATCCACACTGCCCACCCGCTCTTGCCCAAGATGATTTACAGTATGGCATCAGAAGACAGGGCTTCTTGCGCAAGAGCTATATTCTTTTCTAACAAGTGTAAGGTCTGTTGCACAAGAGCTCTTGTGCAAGAGGGCAGTGTGGATGTGCAGCAGGCGTTTCTTGCGCAAGAGAGCATCCACACTGCCATGGATGCACTTGCACAAAAGCATATGGCTGTGTTCTTGCGCAAGGACCCACCCGTGTAGACATAGCCTAGGAGAGCAGAAGTCCATCCATTGAATGTTAATTTGAGGTGAGTCATGTGCTGGTGGGTGGGCAGTGTGGATGCTCTGCAGGTTCTTCTGCAAGTTAAATTTCAGAGAGGTATGTGTGTTGGTCTCTTTCTGCAAAATGAGCTCTGTGGCATTTTAAAGGCTAGCCACTGGCATGGAATAAGTGTTTGTGAGTTGCCATTCAAGTGCAAAAATCTGAAATTGGTGAGCTGGAATTTGTATGCTAATTTGACACCATCAGAATGGGTCTGAGTAGAGACTGGCATAGGAATTCTCACCTTATCCACACCAACCCTGATGTCACATACCCATCTCTGTATCCCTGCTCACTTCCCCCCCCACCCCTTCATGCATCTGACAAAGCAAGTTGCAACTCATGAAATCTTATGCCATAACGTAATTGTTAGTCTTGAAGGTCCTCCCACACCTATTGGCTACATGTAGACTGGCATGATTTTCCACAAATGCTTTTAACGGAAAAGCTTTTCCGTTAAAGCATCTGTGGAAAAGAGCATCTACATTGACCATGGATGCAAAAGCATCCGTGCCAATCTAGACATGCTTTTGCGCAAAAAAGCCCTGATCGCCATTTTCGCAATCGAGGCTTTTTTGCACAAAACAAATCTGAGCTGTCTTCACTGGCCCTTTTGCACAAAAGGACTTTTGCCTGAACAGGAGCAGTATAGTATTTCCGCAAGAAGCACTGATTTCTTACATGAGATCGTCAGTGTTCTTGCGGAAATTCAAGCAGCCGGTGTAGACAGCTGGCAAGTTTTTCTGCAAAAGCAGCTGCTTTTGTGGAAAAACTTGCCAGTCTAGACACAGCCATTGTTTACACTTAGGGAGGTGGCTATACTTCCAAGTTGTGCAGTCTCTCCCCCACCTGTTGATTTAATCCCTCCTACTCCCATCCTCCAGCACTGAGGTGCAGCATGGCACTACATATGGGGAACAGCAACTAGCTTGCTATCCTGTCAGTCTGTGGTTAAGAAGAGTTTAAAATGTAGCAGATACTTAACTAGATTTGGGTTCAGCATAAAGCTGTAAGAGCTGTTTGTAATTATGGATATTAAGAGTCCAAGTGACCCATGCAGAAAATGGTTTTTAATTACACCTCATGCACTTGATACCATAAAAAACAAGGGCAGAAGCCTTGCTATTAGGCTCAAGCTGTGGGGTGCAGTCAGGACCATTTCCATCAGCTAAACATAGACAACCTTCTGTTATCATTGACTGAAGAGATGCTTACTTTCTGCTAGGGGTGTTTCCTTTGGCATTCCCTATTTTCTCACAGTATGGAATAGGCTTCCCCTTCTTGTCTGGGCTGTTTAATCTTTTGAAAAGAATGCACTTCATACATGTTACATGGCTATTTTGAAAGAGGGTATTCTAACCTCTAGCTATTGTTTCAGTAATTAAGAGGGACTATGTACAGTGGTAGTCACATACCTAGCCCAAACATGCTTTTAGTCTCAACTTTCATTTGGAGTAGCCTGAGCATAAAAGTGTTCTGAAACCAGAAATTCTTGTTAATATGCACCATATTACATCAAAGTAGTAGATAAGTTAGGTTCAGAAAGAATTATGAACTGGCAACAGCTTTTGCTAAAATAGCAGAAGGCCCCTTTCATGTAGGTGATCTTATGTTTTATGACCAGAGTAAGGACAATGATGGTTGCATAGAAACCTTTTATTAAAATAAAGATACAGAGTCTGAGGTAACAAAAGCACACACAAATATAACAGCCTAGAGAACATGGAAAAAAGTATGACAAACAAATACATTTTAAATTTCTTAAAAGCAGGTTGAACAGTTGTGTAGCCTAAAGGTGGTTAACAGGGAAAAAAAGTCAGCTTGTACTATTTTCTAAGAAATATCATGAGATCTACTTAACTTGAGTCTCACACCAGCAAGTAGTAAAATTGGGCAATATTTTATTGGCAGAAGAATAGGCCAAAGCATAAATAATGTCATTGTTTGGAGAAGAATCCTGTCATTAAAACCAACATCCCAGACTCATTCTCAGCTGCATGAGCCTGTCTAACTATCCCTCTGAGCAATGTTGAACCACCTGGAAAGAACCAATTGTTATTCTAACTAATGTACTTGTCTGGGCAGCATGTAGAGAGGAGTGCAAACATTTATTCTAACATCCAGGCCAGCAACTTCCACCAGCATGAAATTTGTTAGAAGATTGAAGGTTTTCCCTCTCCTCCCTCCCAAACATTTTATAAAGGAGAGTTCTGGCTGGGAGTTCTTGCAGAAGCTGTGATTGGTGATATTGAATATTCATTTGTTATTTGATGGTTACAGCTAGAGCTCAGATACCAAGTCTACAAGAAGTGCAGCATTTTACAGTGGTAGGCATCACCAAGCCATGGGGGAATTCTCCACTTCTGTGCAGCCCTCTAGGGCTTCCCAAAAAAAATGAGTAGGCATAGGTATCATGGATTATATTGTAGAGAAAGTTCTACTAGAATCTCAGGTGAGAGACTGCAGAACTTTACACTGCAGTCAGAGCTGTGTGCTAGAATGGAAGAGAGGATGGGATAGAGAAATGGATACAAATAGCTACTGCATCTACAGGAGAGGGACAAGGTCCAGAGATTAATTTAAAAAAAAAAAAAAAAAAGACAGGTCAAACAATTTTGCTATTATTTCCAAGCACTGGTCTCTTCATATATAGTGCTATTGTGAAGTTTTCACATCAGTTACCAATCTAAAGAACAGTGCCATTTTGGGAGAAGGAAGCAGGTCTCTCCCTCCCAACATGCTTGTGTGTTGACTAGGTCTCTAGTACGGCATAGGTCTACACAGACTAGAAGAGGAAGATGGAATAGAGCCCCTGACTGTCAGTTTTATGGGACAGGAATGAATTGCCCAAAGATACTGTAGCCCACCTCCAAACCAAAGTTAAAATAGAGCTTAGGATGAGAAGAGCAGTGGAGGGAAAACTAGGGCTAAGCTAGTTGGTTACCTTCCTGGAAGAAAGGCTTTTAGAAAGAGTAAGATATCAATCCCACTTCATACAGACACATTAACCATTTTCAGACAAATTGAAAGTTAGAGCATTCCTGTTTACCTGCAATTATTCCAGTTCAGTCCTTTTCATTTCAACACCACCATTCCTCCCCCCCCTCCCCCCCATCATCAGTGGTTTTGTGCCAGCCATTTTAACAGCAGGCAACTTTAGTCTAAACTACTTAAACTGCTGATGCACATATTCTAACAATGTGGTATCCTACTCTTTGTGTTTAAGAATGCATTTCCATTCATCTAGGCAAGAATATTCACAAACTACTGTGATGAAAACACATTGTTTCTGGATAAACTAAACCAATTTCTTCAGAAACAGTCAGTTTTTAGTTACATGGTCAAGTACCATGGAATGAAGGAAATACATGAAAAGCTCTAAGCACTGCACAAGGCAATTCCACCTGCTGTACCAAGGACAGGTTATCCTGGAAGGAACACTTTTGAGCACAGCCACCAAGTTGATAAGGCTGGCAGCCCCACTCACCAACAACACTTGTAGAATAGCAACGGAGGAAGGATCAGTCTGCAATATTCCATTAAAAATGGGTTACCTATATAGGCCTTGCATATTAAAATTACTATATAAATAAATAATGGTTCCTTTATATACAACCATGGGGCAAAGGGGAAGCAAGAAGGATTAATTCTACCCAGTTTCTCAGGGTAGAACCATTCATCCAAAGAGCATTCCAAGGTATTGGTCAGTATTCCTATGTGACAGCAACAATGAAACATAGGACCCATGGAAGAAGCCAGTCAGAATCAAAGATCTCACCACCACAACTTTCAGAAAGATTTTAATTAGACTAGCATTCTAAGGAACAAGGATTATTTCAGATGACATTTTAGCAAGGAGATTCAATTTCAGTTCGAGCCTAGACTAGCAGTAACTGAAAGCTTATCATCTAATGACCAGTTATTGGTTAAGACCTATGCCTAGGGTACAACTTTCAACATAGCTTAGCCACCATTGCACTGGTTCAGAGGAACACTTATGAAGTGAGCTATCCTGTTGTCTCAGAGAACACTCCTGAAACAGGTGACAGACAGCCATATGCTGCTTTGTGGGGAAACTTGCACTGCCACTGCTGTACCTGTAATTCAGAGGGGACATCAGGCTCCAGATTTACTGTTAGAAACATTGACCACCATGGAAATGTCAGTATGACAGTCTTCTACAGCATCCTTTATGCAGAAATCCCACCAGTTTGTGTACAGCTCTAGTACCACCTCTCCAACCTGTCAGAGGTCTTGACACCAACATCACATCCATTAGCTTAAAAATGCAGTGTTAAGTGACAGTAAACAATCCAACACTGATCTGATAGCTAGCGTACTGCTGGGCACAACAGTGCTCAGCTTGCTTTTTTTCTCCCCCTCCCCCCCCCCAAAAGTTATGATTACCAATCATAACAGGCAACAGTGCTGCAGTACGAGAGTGTGCAGTATTTTTCAGTAAGCAAGCTGGCATTTTCATTGCTGAGGAAAGGATGCAAGAAAGGCAACTGATAGTCTTTTAAAGTTTGGTATCAGTCTCTATTGCAGCTCATTTCTACCAATGTTTCTGCAGCCTACAATAGAGAATAGTCTTATAACTGACAAATAGAGGTAGCAATTAGAGAATTAGCCTAATTTGCAACAGAAAGAAGTGTTTTGGTCACCAACCTACTAAAAGCTTTCTGCAACATACAAGACATGACAAAGAATTCCTGAAATCTGTACTGTGCACACTTGAGCTTTTAACAAAGCTTGCTACTACTGGCTATTCTCCAAAACAAACTAAAATACTCTGAATGTCATGCAGGGATTAGGGCCAAGATTTCCAAATGTAAACACAAGTCAGACCTCATAAGCAGCATGGTTTTCATAGGGGCTCAGGAATCACACAGGGATGCCTTGTAGCATATTCTATTTCAGGATCGAGGCCTGTTTGGAAAGGCAGCTTCAGGCAGAATTCCACCTGTTTTTGTACAGCATCTTGCCTAGTACAACATAGCCCCTAACCTGATAGGTCTCTTGGCTCCAATGTAACAGTCACCTTTTTATTGCATAACCTAGTTTACATTTGTCTAACACACAAGAGAGTGCCAGACACGGCCTCTTGGGGTGTACCCACAACAGGAAAGTGTAGCAACACAGCAATATAATGGGTTTTTCCACACATTCGGGTGCTTATTAAGGCAAAATAGGTGAATTTAAGACTGGTTTCTTATCTCCAGTTCTATTACCTACAAAAGTGTGGCCCCCATGAGTGGTAACTGCTCAGCATACAATATACTGAACCCAAAATATTCCTCCTGTTGAGCAGCTAGCCTGACCATGAAGGGTGCAATCAAACTAAAAAGGGGGATAAAAACACCCCAATCTCAGGAATGAATTTAAGCTAATACAGTAAACATTGACAGTTAGGACTGCAAGTTTGAAGTGAGACTAGCCCAGTACAGACACCATCCTGATCACACCCTGCTGCTATGAGTACTGGCGCTTTTTCCCATAAGAGATTCTCCTTATTCGAATTTCTAGTTGGAAGGCATCCAGTCTTTCCTTTGGGTTAAACATTAACATGTCATGCAGAAGTCTGCAGAGATCAGCTGGCATGGACTTCTTGTTCTTCAGAGGAATCTGCAGTTCCATATTGGGATTCCCCAGCAGTGCCTCCCCAACAGGTATCAGCTCCTTGCCTTGACAGATGTAGGTTCCTGGGCATAGTTTGGAAAGAGGGAGAAGTCAGATTGGGGAGAAGGAGAATCCATGCCAGACATTCATCCAACAAACATCATGAGATTACTGGAGGATCAGCAGCATGGACTTCACTTCAGAGGCTAATGTCAGGATAAGTGTCACATACCAGCCCCAGAAGAAGTTTAATACTAAAATAGAAACTATCAAGTTTGTCACATTCCCATTTCTGTACAAGCATTCATCAAGCAGAAGGACGCAGGCAAAAAAAGCTTTTACATCTGGCCTGCACAGGTCACTGTCTAGTGGTTATAGGGATTGCATGCACAGAAAATAGCCTCCCTCCTTCCACATCCATTCTGATTTAATTAGCACCAATGTCAATCCCATCTCTGTAGCCTTCCCCCTCCCCAACTTTTTTTCCCCCCCTCTTCAGCATCTGAGAAAGCAAGTTGTAGCTCATGAAAGTTTATGATTTAATGCCCTAATAAATGTGCTAGTCTTTAAATGCCACTGGACTCTTTATTGTTTGTTGAAACAGATTAACACAGCTACTTCTCAGAAAACTGTCATTTCACTCTGTTTCAGTTTAACCACGAGTAGACTGGACATTCTAGAAAAGAGGCAGGATTTGTTTGGTTCAGATGACACAGAAATAAGTTAACTGAATCATTGTTTGCTCAGTTATTTAAGTGAAACAACTGTTAATAAAAAGTGAGGGCATGTTCCATTTGCCATTATCCAGCTCAATACAGCTTCTCTGCTGCTGCATAAATTAACACAAATTCACTGGTTAAAATGAAATAGCTGAATTTCAAAGAGACCACACAGGAATCTCTGATCAGCCAAGCAGCTCTGCCATAGCAGCAAGCATGGAATAAAGCAGTGGTCCCCAACACGGTGCCCATGGGCCCCATGGCGCGTGCTTGGCCATTTCTACACGCGGCACAAGGGCGACACCGTGCCCCTGGGCGCGGTGCATGCGAGTGGCCCCACCCCCAAGCAGCCCCAAGAGGTTGGGGACCACTGGAATAATGTGACTGATCTGCATGCTGAGGTTAGCCAGGCAGGCCTCTATCTCTAGTTGGTGAATGGTTATTGAATAAGCTTTAACGAAGTCTGTTCATGCCTTCATCTGAGACCTAGACTATTTCTGGTTCTTTAGTCAAGAACTGAAGTGGCTTTTTGCTTCTCTTCCAAAATGCCAGGAAGCAATCTCAGTTCTTAATTCCATTATGGTTGAAAGCTTAAAGCAGCCTTAGTGAATGCCTTTTAATTGAAATTATTAGATCATGTATTTTAGAAAAGAATGCATACAGTTGTATACTGAGCTTACTAGAGTAGGAGTTGAAATGCCTCCGATTAATATGTAGCACTTTAATAAACCATCTTGTTAGTCTTTAGATTATAAGCTTTCGTGGGCCAGACATCTGAGGAAGTGGGTCTGGCCCACGAAAGCTCATCATCTAATAAACCATCTTGTTAGTCTTTAAAGTGCTACATAGTCCTGTATTTTGTTTCAGCTACACCAGACTAACATGGCTACATTTCTGTCACTATTCTGATTAATATGTGGATATCAAAGACTGTCCTTGAATGTCACTTTGCCATGTGGCCCTTAAATACACCACCCACATCAGCAAGACACAGTGAACCAACTGTAGATCAGCCCATCTCCAAGAAAAGATAGGTTTACTGCAGGGATAAGAAGTTAGAGTTTTAAAGTGGGGCAACAGGGAGAGAAACATTAAGCAGGAGAAATACTGTGCATGTTTTACCTCCATCAATGAACAACTCAGATGCACCATCAATGCACGGTACCATCTGTTAAGTTTGCCCAACATTATACAAGTTGCCATTTAACGATGTTATATTTAGATCGATCAACTAATCAACTGTTCAATAAGGGTGCCTCAAAAACAGTCCTCCTGGCAGCCCTTGGCTTTTGAAATGTACAAGAGTCCCCCACTGGACATGCACCCCATGGCTCTTCCGCATTTGAAATATAGCAAGAGCTCTGCGGGCTCTTGCTACATTGCAGAGGCACCCTTATCAACTAATTGAATTGTTGATGCAAATCAATCAGCTAATCTAAATTTAACATCCTTACTAAAAATACTGCATCAATGGAATTTAACTGAGTTTCAGTATTTCCTTTTGAATGTGTTTGAGAGAGAGGGTTGTTTTGGAGGGGTTTGATTGAATGTTAAAGACCAACCATTGGGCTGTTCCCATTTCTGCTGAGCACCTGTTGATTTCCTAACCGCCTTTCCTCAATGGATGGCCAAGCCAGATGGCATATTTCATTCTCCTGGCCACACAAGTTTTTTGTAAGTGGAAAAGTAACGGCGATCACAAAAGTTTAACAAAGCTTTTCAAACAAAAGAAGAGTTAAAATAATGTGCTTTATACAACATGTTGCTCTCAGGGCTTAAAGATAGGGGAGTCCTGCAAAGAAAGCAGGCTCAACATGAGGAAAGGGATAGGAATGTTGACAAGTAATTGGGAGCCAGCAGGAACAGCCAGTCTGGAGCTGCTCCCCCACCAGCCCCCATTTAATCAGTTAATTGGTTAAGCTTAATGTTTAACCAGTTAACTAATTAAAGGGATTTTTCTCCCTACTAGGGAGGAAGGGGAAGAAGGCTTTACAAATTTCTAGCAATATTTGTAAAGAGGACATGGAGAAATGTTGATTATTCCAGAGGAAGCCACATCCAATACTGTCAAAGGGTGGTGATGTGACTATGCTTGGAAGAAGGATCCTCAGGTCTTATAAGATTGGTGGGGATTGAGCAGGAGAATGATCTATAAATTAGGGCTAGTTACTCTCACCAAGCAATTCCTTCTCAGAGTCTCCATCCCTGAAGGTAATCCTCTCTACCATAGCCCAGAAAATGATCCCAAGGGCAAAGATATCAGCTTTGGCAGTATAGCGACCTTCCCACACTTCTGGTGCCATGTAGAAATTTGACCCACAGGCTGAGGAGAAGCAATGCTGGTTCACATTCACCTTCGCCTGGCATATCTTACTCAAGCCAAAGTCTGCTACCTAAGACAAGAAGGGGAGAGATTAGGTTACCATTATTACCTGTAACATTCAAAAGGGGACAGAAAGGGAGAGGAGACAAGAGCCAGTAAGTTGTCATTAGTAGCCAAAGCAGAATCTAATGGTGTCAGTGAGTTTACATTTCAAATAATTCCGTGCAAGTTAATTTTATTAGTTGGATGTCATTTAGTGACGCTTAATTAGTCTCAGTTCCTCATGCCACCCCTGTTGCTTACCAATCTTCATTTTGACCATAAAGATCCATGGCCAGAGCCCGTATAGAAGCAACACGTTTCTTGTCTCTTGCCTCAAACAGCAATTAATGCTAGAGACTACAATACTGAAAATGCTGGCAAATGTATAAGGACTCTATGGGTCCACCAATAAGGAAAGATGCTATATAAACCTTTGCAGACCTTATTTGCAATATCTTCATGCTTCCTTCCTATACCCCCCAAATCTAATTTGTTCCAGAAAGTAGGAACCATGGCTGGGTTAGCTGCAATCAGGCCAGAACGTATCAGAAATAGGGTTGTAAAAATGCAATTATTTGTATAATCATGTAACTGCCAGGGGGGAAGGGGAGGAGGAGCTGGTGCTCAAGGGGAGCTATCTGTAGCCCAGCACCCACTCAAGTTCCATTCCTTTCCTTCCCGCCTGCTGCCGCTTCTGTATCAGACGCAGCAGCGCAGGGGGCAGGCAGCTCTGCAAGCACTGGCTTCTGCTCGCTTCCCCACCTCCTATGCAGCTCCATGGGAACCGGCATGCTCAGGGAGCTGGCTTCTGCCTGCCCCGTCCCCAGCAGCGCGGGGGTGAGTTGGTTCTGCAAGAGCAGGTGCTCATGCCTCGCTTTGTGCACTGCTGCCTCTCTGGTACGCAGCAAGAGCGGGGTGGTGGCTCCAGTGGACCACAGGTAGTGGGTGGCAGGACAAGGGGGAGAAGATGTGCATGTAGGTAACAGGATTAATGGATGAGCCCAGGCCAGATGTGTCAACATGTTCACATCACTAATTGAAAGTGTCCCTCTCTGCCAGCAACTGTACACACTGCAATTTAGTGCAGCAACTCTCTAGCGAGAGATCAAGTATAGATATCCCTAACAGGTCAAGGGCTGAATGGTGTAATTGCATTGAAATCATGGGTACTGTGATTTCAGTGAGAAAATATTCCACCACTGATCTGAAATAGAGTATCTAGGTAGTGGTTTAAACCAAATCAGTCCTGAATTGTTTGTCTTGGGGGAAAAAGTCTTTTGCATGAAAGGTGCTTAAAAAAAAAAAGTGCTCAGGATTCCCACAAGAATCCTAAAGGCAACTCTCGCCCTCACACCCTCACCAAAATTTTCTTTTGAGACTCATACAAGTTACTTCCTCATGCTTTTCTAAAAGCACAAAGGGAAGGAAACTGAGTATTACGATGTTACCCAAATGACCAAACTCAGTGCAAGTAATGACTGGCATAACAGCTTACCCATATACTGAGTGACAGCAAGGATTACCCTCTTACCTTTACTACAGGACCTCCAGGGCTATGGGAAATAAGAATATTATCTGACTTCAGGTCTCTGTGGACAATCTGATTTCTGTGCAAGAAAGCAACAGCACTGCTCAGCTGCTGCATGAAGCTATTATTCAGCTGAGAGTCTGGAGTGCGAGACAGCAAAAAATCATTCATGTTTCCACCATCACAGAATTCCATCACAAACCAAAGAAAACAGGCAGACTTGGGATCCATGCATCTCCTCCCTTTCAGACAGGTCTCAATCAGCAGCAGATGATTGTCTGATTTTCTGTATTGGCAGCTGATTGTCTGAAAGACTTGGCCACTCTGCAAGATACACTCTTCTAATTGGATTACATTCTCATGTTGGCTCTGGACACTTTGCAGGGCCCAGAACTCTTGCAAAGCCAGTTCCACATTTTCAGGTACATTACACTGCATCCTTTTCACTGCCACTTTGTTTCTGGTGTGACTGACAACTGCCTCATAAACTACCCCATAGCTCCCTCGGCCCACTTCCCGTACAATGCTGTACTTGGCTTCTGTAGCCATCTCTTTTTATGGCCCAACGGACAACAGCCAAAAAAGATCTTTGAAGTCATAACACTCTTCGGACATTCACCTGCATCAAAATCCTGAAAGAATAAGACAAGAAAAGTTTGGTAAAAATCTGACAGATGACTCATCCCCAATGCTTCACATGCTTCTGATTGAAGCTTATTTTTATTTTACCGTACTACATCTTACGTGTTGCTTGGAGCATAGAAACCTGTTGCATAGGAATTGGTAGCAACATTAGGATTTTAAGAATGTAAAGCTTTGTCCATGCTCAATTTAAGAATCACTGTTCAGCACAGTCCTGCTGCACAGTGTTACAACCACACTGCAAAATGGCATTGTACAGAACTAAACTGCTGCATCACTGAACACAGTGCTTTATTAAGAAAAAGGTAACCTTCCCTGTACAGAATGCATACCCCACATCAGTGGTGGTTTCTAGAAGAAGCTAGTTTGCCAACAATGGTTCATCCAAAGGTGCTGAATTGACAGGAACAAGTTCAGCCCTATCCTACCCTGCAGAAGCACCGGCACCTACACCCTCCCCCCGACCCACCTGCAGTCCCAAAAATCTCACTGACAAGCCACATTCACCAAGTATTGTTACCCCAATACCAGCTCTTCCTCTCCCACACTGTCCTGAATCCAAACCCCAGCCCCTGAAGTCACTCCATCCCTCTTCACCCTCTAACTACCCCAGCCCCTCATTACCTTCCTGCAGTCCACCCCCTCGATGGCACAGCCATCCCCACACTGCCTCCCCCAACCCCTGCCCAGCCCTTCCATCACACCACCTGTGCCCTCCCTTGGCCTGGTCATCACCGCATCTTCTGGGCCCTCCCCAGCCCCCCATCACCACACCTGTGCTCTCCGAAAGAACCCTCCCCAGCCCTGCCATGGGCTGATCATAA